GACATCCCTAGACCCTTCAACTAAATAAATTATGAAGTCATCTAGAGGATTCCTAATTTTCCTTTCCCTAGTACTTCTCCTCACTTGAGGAGTTTCAACATTCTCATTATCGAATGTACTTTCATGAGTTTCAAGTTGATCATTCAACTCTACTATCTCCCTATCATTGGCACTAATCTGTAGATCTTTCGGTCTACTCATAGATGAAAATCGATTTTCATCAAAAATTGCATCTCTTGACTCAATAACTGAATGAATCAATATATAGTCATTTTGTTCTATTACGTAGAACCTATAGGTTTTTCTATGCTCAACATAACCTATAAATATGCCATCCAAGCCCCTTTCCCCGAGTTTTCTTTTCTTGTTGCCGGGCACTCTTACGATTGCCCTACAACCCCAAACCTTGAGATACTTCAAGTTTGGTTTTCTTTTGTACCAAAGTTCATAAGGAGTAGATTCTTTTCCCTTAGTGGGAACCCAATTAAGAATGTGACAAGCTGTCAACATTGCTTCACCCCAGAACCCTTCACTCAAACCAGAGTAAGATAACATGGAATTAACCATTTCTTCAAGAGTTCTGTTTTTACTTTCAGCTACACCATTTGATTGTGGTGCGTAACCCGCTATAGTCTCATGAATTATACCCAAAGATTGGAAATAAGCTGGATCATAATATTCCCCTCCCTTATCAGTTCTAATTCTCTTAATTAATGACTTTACTTGCAGTTCTACTTCCCTTTTATAAACATCAAACTTTGTTAAAGCTTCATCTTTGGAATGCAAAAGATACACATAACAAAACCTAGAATAATCATCTATAAATATAATCATGTATCTTTTGTTCCCCAAAGAAGGAGTACTATGAAAATCACACAAGTCACTATAGATTAGTTCTAAAATATTAGAACTTCTCTCAACTCTCTTAAAAGGAGTTCTAGTGATCTTGTTCAACATGCAAGTAGAATATTTATTAAGAGAAATATCACAAGAAGGTATCAATTCTTGTTTGGACATGAAAAGCATTTAATTGTAATTCACATGTCCTAATCTAGAATGCCATAAGTCAAACAAACTCAAATTAACATGATTATCATTGACATCAACATTCAAACAAATATCATCATCAAATACATACTTGTCTTTCAAAGAAAGTTTAAACAAACCATTATCCAAATAACAACGACCAACAAATGTAACACCCGTAGTAATAATGCATCTATTAGCTTCAAATACAAGCTTATAGCCAAGACTATTCAGGGTAGGCCCGGATACAAGATTCCTACTAATTTCCGGAGCATACAAAACATTCCTAAGAATTATTGCAGTCCCCAAACTAAACACAAGCTCAACTTGTCCTCTTCCAAGAACCTTGATGGTAGAGTTGTTCCCCATGTAGAGGTATTCTCCATCAACAACCTTTTGAAAGGTTTTGAACAAGTGTTTACTCTTGCACACATGCCTTGAAGCCCCCGAATCCATCCACCATGAGTCATCATCCTGCACCATAAAAATGTTAGGATCCGTTGCATTTAAATCCAAACCGGAATTAAATTCAACCTCATGAATTGGATTACCTTTGGTGGGTGGGTCCTTGCTTTCATTAGCACGTCCCTCCTTTGCTTTCTCCATCCTTTTCTTAAAAGAAAAGTAGTCCTTCTTGCGGTGACCAAATTTACCGCATTCCCAACAAGCAAACTTGTTATTGTTTGCTTACCTTTTGGACTTTCCTTTGGAAGAATTATTATTCTTCCTCTTTCCACTAGTAGATGCACTAGCTCTCCCTTCATCTACCATGTTAACGGTAGATGTGCTAGGATTTCCATCCTTAGCTCCTTCCATGGCACGAATCCCTTCTTTAATTTGAAGATGGGTGGCCAAACCAAACAATGTTATGTCCTCTTTCTTATGTTTCAAGTCATGCTTAACACTTTTCCAACTAGGAGGTAATTTGTCAATAATGCTAGAAACAACAAACAATTCATTCATGGTTATTCCATGTTGTTCCAAGCTACCATAAATACGTTGCAATTCATGAAATTGGTCCATTATGGACCGACCATCAACAAATTTAAAATTATTAAAATTGCTAGCTAAGAATTTCTTACTTGATGCATCTTCCTCCATGTATTTGCTTTCCAAAGACTCCCAAAGCTTCTTGGCCGACTCAATGTTTTGATAGACATCTAACAAGTCATCCTCCATACCATTCAAGATATGACCACGACAAATGAAATCATCACTGTCCCATTTCGATCTCTCCCGAACGGATTCCAAGGTCTCATTCTCCTGTTCATCCGACCTTGGAGTACTTATCACATAAGCAACATTAAGAGATGTAAGAAGAAAATACATTTTCTTCTTCCATCTCCTAAACTCAACACCATCAAACTTTTCGAGTTTGACAAAATTTGTTGTTAATTCCTTCACACTAGACGTACTTGAAAAATTCTAAAATAAACTCTTTAGATTGTTAGGTTTTCAGTAATTCAAGACAATAAGATTTACTTAAATTTGTGGGAACAAAACCTAAACAGTGTATAATTAATATCAAATTATACAACAATCCAAATACTAACCAAAGTATTACAATCCAAACACCAAATATACAATGTAATTCTAAAATTACAAAGAAAACACTAATGTGAAAGATATTACACTTGCCTCAACTCCAAGCCTTTGAAAATGAACATGAACATGAGAAATACAATGACCACTTGAGTCTCAATCCTTGATACACTGTCTTAGGCGTGTGAACACTTTCCTAAAGAGTTTAATTTCCCCCACAATGGTGCTTAAGTTCAATCCGGAAATACTCTTTGAGATACAAAAGACAGCCAATCGTTCTTTGCACTAAGAATCGAATTGAAGATAACTAATTCACAAAATTGGATTAATTGGAAGAGATTTCTCACAAAAATTTGCAAGAAGTTTGTGAGAAAAATTGTTGAGAAATACTACTTGGGGAGAAGAAGAATGTATATTGTCTTTTCTTCTTTCACGAATTAAGTCCTTTAATAAAAAACTCAATCGTCAAGAAAAAACTGTAAAACAGGGAGGCGCGGGTGCGCCACCAAGTGGAGCGGGCGCTCCTCATCAGAAATGCGAAATTTCCACAGAAAGGCAGAAGGGGGCGCGGTTTAGGCGCGACCGGACGCTTGGGCGCGCCAAACATACCCTTCCAAAGTTCCAAATTCCAGAGAGATACACGGTTTAGGCGCACTCTTTGCGCGGGCGCTTCTTCATGATCGCGATCGCGCAACCATCAACACTCTAAATATCCAACAGCTTTGTGCCGCACTGTTTTTTTTTTTTTTAATTTTAACTAAAATTGGTACCGGTTAACCGGTGCCAATTATGCCTTCAAAAAAAAAAATCGGAATTTCTCCACTGAAATATTCAGCATACAATGAAACAAAACACCAAAAATCAAACTTCCCTAAAAAAAAAACACCAAAATCATAATATACAATCACATATACATATATATTCATCAAATAAATTGTGATTTTACAATTTATTAAAAAAAAAAAAAAAAAACAGAAAAATCGTTGAATTTGTAATTTTACAATTTACAATCACTACAGTTGTAATTTTAAACCCAGAAACTTCGAACTTCAAACTTAGAAAAATCATGCACGAACTTTACACTGAAAATTAAAAAATCAAAAACTTCCAACCTGCATCAATTAAAACAATAAAATCAGATAACAATGCTACTAACAACATAAAAAATCAACCTAAAACAAGATAAATCACTCAAATTCAACCCAAAAAAAACCACCACAAAATCGAAAATCAATCGAACAAATTCAACCCAGATAAATTCAACCAAAAAAACAAAAAATAAATAAAACAAATAAACCCCAAAAAAATCGAAAATCAATCGAACAAATAAACTCAAAAAATCGAACACGAATCGATCAAATAAACCCCATTAAAAACGAAACGATTTCACACAAATACACCCACAAAGATTCAACCCACAAAACCCGGAAACCTAGAAAAAAAACAAAAAAACCCAGAAACCCAAAGAACACAGAAAAACCAAGCAAAAACCGTGAAAAACCCAGAACCCAGAAACCCGAAAACCCATAAATTACCCAGAACCAAGAAACCGAAACGCAAAGCTAAAGAACTGAGAAACCCTAACCTCAAATTTCTGATTTTAGGCGGCGGCGATGTTTGTTGTTGTTGATGGCGGCGGCTTGGTTGTTGTACTTGGTTTTTGTTGAGAAGAGGATAAAGAACGAGAGATGGATCAGAGAAGCACAGAGAGATTAGAGATGAACGAAAGATGAGAGAGAAGAACAGAGATGAGAGGGATCAAAGAAGAAGAACGAGAATCAGAGAAGAGATGAAAGAGAAGAACGACAAAGAAGAAGAACAGAGATGAGAGAGAAGAATAGATCGAGATGAGAGATAAGGAGAGAGAGAAGAAGAGCATGCATTTCATCAGAGAGAGAGAGGGGGTTATTAAATATGGGTTTATAAGATTAGGGGCACCGGTTAACCAGTGCCAAATCCCTTTTCTGCTCTTTTTTTTTTTTTTTTTGTAATTGGCACCGGTTTGTAAGAGGAACCGGTGCCAAAAGTCATTAAGCTTCACCTGCCCATTTCCTTTGCCACCGGTTTTCAAGAACAGGTGCCAAAGGTGCGTTGCCTAATTCATTTTTAGGTCGATTTTTTTAGATACTTTTCTTAAAAAAACAAGTTTGAATTCCTTTCTCTTTGTAAGCAATAGCATTGTATCAGATTTTACATCAAATTACTAGGACCGGGAATTGGATTGATACTGGTTTAATCCATGCACTTGTTCAACCACGTATCCAAATTCATAACACAAATCTAGAATAACTTTAGTGAGTAAAGAAAGTAAAGAAGATGCTCATCATCTCAATGGCAACCATATCTCCATAAACGGAACGTACGATTTTGGAATCGATACCTTCTTATCATCTTCTCCATCTTTCTTATATTCTTTTGTCATTGTTTTCCTACCACAATAAATTCAAATGGCCGAAAACTAAACAAACAAACAAGAACCTTATTACCAATATATAAATACGCATATAAACTAGACCGTAAACGCCAATTGAATTACAGATCATACTTCATTATTCTACCATACACAAAAAAAAAATTGAAGGTAAAAATGGGAAATGTTATGACTGAATTAGAGAGAAACTCAAGACAGCAGTCAAGTCGACCCGTGTTTCGTGTAGCAGAACCTAGCAAACACAATCATACGCCTGTTAGATATAAGAGCCGTCCATCTGAGTCTACATGGGATGCCATTATCAAAGATAACAATTCTATCAAATCAGCTCCCGATCAGCAGCAAAAAATTAATGAGATATTGAGTAAAGGAGTGTATTGGGATAGCAGAAAAAAGGTTAGTAACGACCTATGTTCCGCTTTTTTTTTTAAAAAAAAAAAATCATTTTTTTTTTTTTTTTTTTTTTTAAAAAGGTTAGTAACGACCTATGATAGATTACGTTAGATGCCAACATCTCAAAAGCTCTAGCATGGCTTATTCAGATTATTTATTGTTAGATTTATTTATTACGAGATACTTCCTTCGTTTTTTTTATAGTTCAACAGTTTGATTTTTACACTATTCATGTATGTCACTTTGATTAGCTTTAATGATTTATACTTAAGCAAAAATATAGTCATGTGGGATCTTCTTAGATTCGTCTCGGTTTATACTATATTGATATTAAATGTTTATGATTTTTACAAATTGGTAATCAAAGATATTAATGATTGAAATCATGCATCGACAAGCGTGAATTGTAAATATAAAGAAACAGATGAAGTATATTGTTTTCATTTTTCTAAATCTGTAATCTATGTACTAATGTACCTTGTCATAACTGTTTCGTCAAGTTGATTTTGAAAAAACTGCATTATAAAAAATAAAAAATAAAAAAAAAAACGTTTCTTTTTATTTCAAATTTTCAAGGATTAGTTTGTACTTTCACATATAAAGATGAAAACTGTAAACAAAAAACAATATTAATATGAGCCATGAGGTTATTGTTGTGATTTATTTTGTTGATTTATTGTCAGAAATATTGGGTGGACAGCAATGGAAACAACTGCTTCATGGTGTTTGCCAATGGTCTCAAGATAACTTGGTCTGATAACCCAAATTATTGGTACTTACAGAAAAAGAGGTAAATGTAATACGCGTACAATTTTGACCTTCTTTATGCCAAATGTGAGTGCGTGATCATTATACATAAAGATTCAATACGGGAGTATAATAATTTCCTTGTATTAGACTAATAAGTACGTACACCATGTCAGCAGTGCAACCCTTGACTAGAAAGCCTCCCTAATTTTGCAGTGAACTTGGCGACGACAACATAACCATAGCCCAACTAAGGAATGTTGCCTGGCTAGAAGTGTATGGAACATTCAACACAGCAGACCTTACACGAGGAGTTAAGTACGAAGTTTGTTTTATAGTGAAGCTCGAACGCACTTCGTATGGCTGGGAAGTCCCTGTGAACTTCCAGCTCACTCTACCTGATGACATGGTACTTATTTAGATTAAAAAATTTAGATTTGAATATCAATCTGCTAGGTACTTATTTCAGATGAATAGAACAAATCATAAACAAGTACCAATTTGGAATAATGACAGGGAAGAGGATAGGTATACAACTAGAACAATGTGATCATACCCATGATAGTTGGTTGAAGTGCTAATTTTGTCATACATAATCAACCAAAAATCAAGCTAGAATTAGAAAGTCATCTTTATTTCAGATAATGAGAACAAATCACGACTTATTTGTTAGGATATGGATACAAACAACTAAAACAATACTCCGTAATTTGTGTACGACGGAGAATGAAGAACAATTAACACCCAACTCCAACAGCTTCAAGCCTTCCGAGCAAGACGAATATCCATATTAATTGTTTCAATTTCAGTTTGTCAATTTTAATCTGTGAGAATGTCAATAATCAAGGAGTCTTACCAAGGAGTTGTTTAGTTGTCATGGCATGGATAAATGATTAGAATCAGATAGCATTACTTTGCCTGGAAGAGTCCAATACAGGCGGGCTTAGATTAAGCGTTATTGTACAGAAATAGCCCACCAATCTGGTGCCAATATCCTACGTTTTACCCTTTTGTAATTTTCATTTTTTAACTAGTCTTTGGGCTGAGATGATGCCTAAACCCGAGTTATTATATGACAAATAATTTCTCTGTTCTAATAATATTGTAACAATTAGACTTTTGCACTATTCATCACTCTTGTTTGACCATATAATATGATTTATATGTTAAGCAAAATATAATCATATGGAATCTTATTAGATTCGTCTCATAAAATAATTTCACAATATCAATTTTTTATAATTTTTACTCTTATACAATTATAGATATTTAACATATAAAGTGTGTTTTGAGATATGTAATTTCATCCTTGTTGCAATATTATTGGAACGGAAGAAGTGAGGAGTTTGAATACATCTTTTGTGTTTTTTTTTTTCAAACTTACTTGCATTTTGCGTGGTTTTTGTTGCACATACTTCCTTCGTTTTTTAGTTGACACCATTTGATTTTTACACTATTCACAAATTATACTTTGACTAGTTTTTGTTACTTATAGCTACGATAAAATCTATTCAAGTGGAATTTTGTTTGAATCGTCTCAATGTATATTTTATTAATATCCCTTTTTTTGCAATTTTACAATGTCAAGAATTAGATACATTAATCGCTGAAAAATAGTGTGTTGGCAGGCATGATAAAAGAAAGGTGTCAACTAAATAAAAACGGAGGTAGTATTTTATTTTTTTTTTGGAAACAAATCAATTCATAAATTAAAAGCCATACGCACTACAACAAATTGACCTTTGTGCCACGTGTAAAATCGTGGCACAAGTTTAAAATTCTTGTGGCTATGTAATTTAGCCACGGGAATTTTGAAATTTACTCCCGTGGCACAAGAGGCCGTGGCTAGGAATTTGTCACGGGAAAATGTATGTCATGGCAAATTTTAATTTTCATGTCATGGGTACTCACGTGGCAAACAAATTCACTTGCCACGAATATTAACGTGGCTAACAAATTATTTGCCACAAATTCTACCGTGGCTAATAAGCGTTGTTGCCACAAATATTACCGTGACTAATAACACTAGTAGAAAAAAACAATTTTGCACCGGTTCAAAACGACTTAAAGGCACCTGTTTTGCATCTTTTTTCACCCAAATTGATCAACAAACATAGTTCATATATAAATTTAAACTTAGATACTTTCATTAATAGCTTTTAAATTTACACTTATCATCCAAAAAATTGAAAAAACAAAAAACTAATTAGAGTACACTACAATAAAAGCAGCAACAATCAGCAAAGCAAAAGCAGCAGCGCCCTAACTACAACAATAGTGGCACACGGTGGAGCATCTAACACCTTGCTTTCTCCGACCACCCTGGAGCCATTTTCACTCCTATTATGAATGCATTCCTATAGTATATAGTGATAAAGCATAGCACATCCACAAGAACATTCTTTCTTTCACCTTTCATGAGAAGCACTGCCAGTCCCAAGAAAATATTTTTTTTCTCCCACTGGTTACTACTGCAATAAGTGTCTGCCCTCCATGTATAACCAAAAGGTACAATAAGAAATTCATGTCAGAGACACAACAGATCAAATGTCATGGCTTTTTTCATCCTAAAAGAAAGGATTTTTTTTTTACTTTGTTTAATTACTAACTTGAAAGCATATACTATGGATTCCCCTTTTGAGCACTGGAAGACAGTAGTTATGTGGTAGCAAGCGTCATTGGAAGAGAGAGTTCCTATTCAAAACAAGGTGTTATGGAGTCACAGTGGCTGCTACAGTCCCTTATTTTTTTAACACACAACAAAGAGATATATTAGAGGCCTAACTGGCTATAAACTTGTTTACAAAAGTTGCATTCAGATACTTGCTAATGCTATTACACTATGAAAATTTAACACCAGAAGCATTGTGCACATAACCATCACATAAATATTGGACTGAGGTACTAATAGAGTTCTTAACCAACTTAAGTTTATAACTTTCAAACATATTATACATATTAATCAGTCGTACTACAAGAAATACACCCATAAGACATCCATATAAACCAAACATGATTCAAGATTATGAAGGACAAGCAACATAACCAGAACCAGAAGCACGTAGATCAGTTTCAGAGGAAATCTTAGCACTAGCAGGCACAAAGAAATGATCCTTATGACTAACCAACATAGACATTCCATGAGCAAGATTAATAAACAGATCGATTTCAGCAATGAAAGAAAGTTAGAAAATTAGTTACATTAACTAACAAGGAATAAATTACCAAGAGAGGCATATTTTACTTAGCCATGTCTTGGAGCACAGGCAACTACTTTCCAAAAAAATCAGTGACACCATCCTGAGTTAGTTGTTGCACCAGCAGGGTACAATTTGACAGCATAAACTACCCTACTTTCTCCTGTCAAAATAATTACAGTACCAATAAAAAAAAAAAAAACTAAACTTAGATTTGACAATTAGACACCTCATTACCCAACTAGCGACTTTCAAAAGGCTGATACACTAATAACACAAGTATAATGTTTGCCATGGGAAAATAAATACCCGTGGCATAAATTATTCTTCTTATTTAGGTTTTGGACCATAGTTCATTTTTCCCGTGGCTAGATGAAATTATGCCACGAATTTGGAAATCCCGTTGCATAATTCGTGGCATAAGTGATGATTTGTTGTAGTGACGACATTTACAAATGAAATTTAAATTAACAAATGCATAAAATTGAATCAAATAAGGGTTTCCTTCATCAAAGCTACGATCGTTGAATAGATCTTGCACTGTAGTACATCTCTCGCACATATCGCTGGAATATACAACCTTTTCGAAGAGATAGTCTAACGATTTGTTGTAGCCGTAAGAATGATTTTCATCTGATTCACTTGAATGTATTTGAAATTTGACAACCTTTGAGATCCCAATCAAATCTTTACCACTGAACTGATAATAGGGTAAAACATGATTAACTTTTTTATACTCCCTCCGTCCCACATTATAGTTCATGTTTTCCTTTGTTGGAGACCCAAAATGTTGTTCTTGTTTCTATTTTTTGGATAATATATAAAGACCATTATACCCTCATTTTTTTAACTTTATTCATTGAACTTCATAAATTACCCTTGAATTTTCCACTTGCCTTGTACTTTTTTCCACTTTCTCTCTCTAATTTTTGTCTATAATTGTACTTTTCACTTTTTTAATGTATTTCATCCACTTTCTTCTCTCATTTCTTGAATGCCGTGAAAAAACACAAACAAAAACTATAAACTGGGACAGAGGGAGTAAACCCTAACACACAAAAATCTCTAAACAAAAACATACAACTAAACTAATTAACAAAAACTAACGACTCCACCATAGGGAGACGGACGAACATCACTACTTGTGTAGATTTATTGAAACCTAAATTGCAAAACTAAAGAAATTTAAAGGAAAATCATCTAATTTCTGAAGAAATTAAACTATTTTCAACCTAAACGCCCAAAAATATAGAAAATCCTCCTGTTGCACATATTTGAAATCAATATACGTGTATATATTTACTCAGAGTATATGTATATGTTGTGTATTATTTAACGCGTACATCGGCTACATATTAACAAAGATAGTTACATGCTGGTAATACAGTGCATGGTTGACTTGATCATATATGTACTTCCTCTGTTTTTAATACCTACAACACACACTTTTTCACAATATTTAAGAAAAAGTGGATCTCACATAATCTATTAAGAGCATAATTTAGTAGGTCATGAGCTTTAAATAAAGTTTATAGTTCATCTTTCAAAAAAAAAAAAAACTTTCAATTACAATGTATTGCAAGTATTGTGTTATTTCCATTTTAGAGAAATCTTGGAAGTATTAAAAAAATCGAGGAAGTATATATATATATATATATATATATATATATTAATCAATTATATGGATATTAATATATGATACATAATTTTGACCTATTTAAACTTGCTCTTGCTTCTTAGTGAAATTTTCAAGAATAATAAATTGGATATATATGTAAATGTCACGGTACAAGACAAGTATCCCACGGTTCTCGTGTACACGTGAAGCAATGGCATGGAAATGGAGTAAGTAATTGCAATAATTCAACTAGCTAAGCTAAGGTGGTACCACGACTCATATAATATAGAGTGCCAAGCTGAAATTTATTAGCGATGACAACGAACTATGAACTCTAAGTCAACGTAATTTTTGACTCTTAATTAATCATCATCGTACTACAATAAGTCTATATAGCTTATCCTTAAAAGTTTATAATCATTATAATCATTTTTTTGGCATTAAATTAATTAATAATGTAGTGATTAGAGGCTTATTAATGTGTCAATGTTTTATTTTTTTTTGTGTCAAAAAAATAAAAATGTGTCAATTTTTGGTCATTTTAAGTCACAAAGTATATATTGGATTTTGCTAATGAATGCCCCAAGACGTTAGATAACTAATTAATATATATTAGTTAAAATAGTATTAAGTTAGGAATATAATGCATGCCAAAATCACGTATAGATCAGTACGATGTAATTAATGTTGATTTTGCTTTGATATTTCCACTTTTAGTTATTTTATTTATCTAATGCCCTGAGGGGTGGTCTATATAAAGTAGTTATCCAAAGTCCCAAGATAATAAACTTCACAAATCTATTTCAAATTTAAACTATATTACAAATACAACATTAGGCTCTGTTCACTTCACCTTTAAAAATTAATATTTAGTAAATATAATTTCAAATTAGTAAAAACAAGTTCATTTCAGTGAAAATTAGTCATCTTAAAGAAAAAATATAATAAAAAATCACTAAAATAATTTCAGTTCAACAAAAATAAGGTGAAGTGAACATGGACTTATTCTTTTATTCTCTCAAATTTCATTCCATTATTTTTAAGAAATTTTTCTTGAATATGATTATTAAAATGGTACTCTGTAGTTTATATGAAGATTGCTTTATAATAACTTCATGGCAACATAATATGAATAGTAATAAAAACTTTCTATAGCAAGTATTTTCTCAACAATTATGCAAGTAATATTGACAAGACTGCCATTTATTGTATTTAATATAAGTAACATTATTTTTATAATTGTGTTTCCCTATTAATAGGCTAACCTATACATTGTTTGATTATTGTTTTTTTTTTTTTATTTCTTTTAATG